ATGTTGTGGAAATCATCCATGCATAGTATTTGAAAGGATTTCTGCTAAGCCAAAGCAGAAAATATAATTATTCAACGGATGGAGTTTTCTGTTGGAAAATCCGGGTATAAAACAATATATGAAATTGACACGTATTTTCACAAATTTTAATTACTCTTTTAATTGCTTTGCAACCCATGTCTTCTGCCCTCTCCAGTTGACTAGATGCAATACTGTGTCTCTTCTGGGTGTTAGTTTTCCCATCCCTTGCAAATCCTAACACTTTTCCAAGAGCCATTCCACTAGATTGGAGGCCATGCAGCTCTAAGAAGATCGAACTTTCGTCCAGGAATTCACCATGTCTCTGATTTCTGATTATCAGACCAAATAGGTTTTACACATTTGATCACTTAGAAACACACATTAATAGTTGAACTGAGACGCACAAATCTAAAAGCAATGCTAGGCAAGGAACTGAAAGGAAGCACAGTGTAGTAGGAGGAGCTAGGCTTACACCCAAATATTTTGAATCCATATTTTTGCCACCACCACCCCGCCACCTTCAAAATTTTGCTTGGTAACACATGCAGGTATTTTTCATTGAAGTAACTTCCGACTGTCTTTCATTTTATAGTGTCCAGGGGATTGTCTGTCAGGTTAATATGTTTCTTGTTTTACTTTTTTAAAAGATTTAATTAAAAAAGCTATATTGTTCATAAAATTATTATTTTTGTATTGCGTCTTGTTTTGTAATTTCCTGTAAAAAAAATTACGCCTGTGATTGTGACTCATTTAAAATGCTGTGAATGTTCTTGGTCTGCTGTGGTATTCTACATTAGAATTTGATTTCATTTATAAGTACCAGTGTGGCCTATAACTAAAAATACCTGTAATATAATAGTTGCCATATAACAGCTGTTGCCCTTTTCTCCTGTAGGTCTGCTCTTTTTTCCCCATGATGTTCAGAGAGAATACTGTCAAGGATGATCTTATACAGTTTTGGGGAATTTGATTTTATGAAAAACTGGCTGGCTTGCAAGTCTCTGCCAATCTGAGCATTTTTCCATTTTTTTGTTTAGAGTTTGTAGGAGGTCTTTGAATGTTGGTTCCGTTAGAGATAAATACAATTTAGGTTCAATCAAAATTGTAGTATTATTGCTATTACAGTGTATCTTCTAAGTAAAAAAGAGCTTCATAAAGGATGAGATTGTTAGTTTACCATTTAACTTCTCCTGAATGCATTTCCAAGTTGATGCTTCAAACATAATGTCCCCGTCCTGGCCAACTAACATGTCACCAAACTGTCCTTCGACAATCCTCCAGTAATCAGGATTTTGCAGCTGTGACACCGAAAGGGATGAGCTGTTTGTGGCTTTTTTATCGTAGTAAACATTCTTTTTCTTCAAAACCACATGTAGTATTTTCATTATGGTGTAACATGCTGTAATTCTAAGATCTACATAGCACCATTGATTATTATACCAAACAATGTTTACAGTTAAGACTGTACCTCAGAGGTAAATTGTTGACCAACTTCAAAATCCATCTCTTAAGTTTGATTGGAACTTCCCCCAGGAAAATTTTGACAATTTTAACTCCCCCTGGGGAATTATGGTATTAATGCTGCATTAGCTCCTCAGCCAACAGTTGTTAGATTTACCTGCACTCCCTAATTGTAGGTGGGGGGTTGAGGGTGTTTTCAATTGACTGATGCATAAGATGCAGTAATCAATCAAATGGTACAATGCCTGGGCTCAAATTTGTTAGAGCAGAAGTGACNCTAGTAAGTGTATTATTGATTCCAAATTGACAGACGACAGCGAGTTAGTCAGGGGATACACATATCACTGCGATCGCCGTTCAGTGATATGTGTATCCCCAATACATCTAGGGGATACAATGTGGATACGCATATCGCGGCAATCGCAGTCAATATGTGTATTGTTATTCAGTTGCATTGTGATCTTCTTCCGTTTATATTTTGGATCGGAAACTTTAAAATATAAAACCACAAAATTTGTTCCTCGTAGCCATGTTTTCTTTGAAGCTCTAAGAGGCCCGGGTGCAAAGCTTCAGTGTTTTGTGTATCCCTACCAGGGGTACACATATCACTAGTGATATGTGTGCGGGGGTACACATATCACGGAGGTACACATATCACTGTGACAGGTGTCAGCGGCGCATAAAATTAAGGTCACGTGACTGAAACCGACCTATTGAGCGAGTTTTGGTTTTGGGACATAGTTGAACGAGTCGAATCTGTGGGTCATTTTATCGTGAATATTATCGGGAAAATCTCTTGTGTTAAAAGCAATTGGAAGATTCCTGACACATGGCAAACGATCTTAATTTCTTGATCATAACTATCTTTACTCTCAGCGCTGTAGGTTAGTATAATAAGTAAGTTTTTTGTTCGTTTTCCCTGAAGCTTAAGCTAGCTTCCGAAATCGTTCCACGATTTCGGAATCGTTCCACGATTCACGTGGAGCACCCAAAGTAACTCGTGAACGGTATTTTTAAACCGCTCCATTGCCTCATTTCGCATAAGTTATGCTTTTTTCAAGTTCACGTGGTCGAAAATACTTCTCTTCTCGGATTTGCCTGTATCTCAACGCTTAGATTAGGAACAGTGGTAAGATTTCGTGTTCTGTTGGAAGACCGTGGTCCAGCCCACACTCATCGAGCATTTAATGTGTTTTAGTGGTGCCACATTATGTGGTGGTATTTCGCCTACAGACTATAGAAACCTGCAAGGTACTCAAAATTTTTCTTGGACCTGTTTTACATATATATTAAATCTACAGTCGTTACCGTTTACCGCAATCAGTGATCTGAAATTTGACAGGGAAGAGAGGTTTGCCTGTCTGAATCTGACAGCTGGATTCGACCGCTAGCAATCCTTCCTTTTCGGCGAAGTCTCTCGCGCTAGTAACAAAAAATTAGGTGAAAAAAATTAATATTAGTGTGTTTCGGAGAGCTCTTGGACTGATACTGATAGTTACAGATTCAAGACATCCGACAGATCTAGTCATAGCGGTAGTGTTGTGATTTTTTGGCGTTTCATCATTTTCAAAGCAAACCATGTATGACTACTGTCACGTGACTGTCATGTGGTTGTAAGGTTTACTATTTTCTGTTCTTTTGTTTCAACTGCGTTAAACCAGGTTTCGTGTGTTTATTGAAACTACCTTGCTACAAAGGAAATCTGAATACTTTGAGTTCGTTATTAGTATTTTTTCAGGGCTGGATTTTAAGAAATGGCAAAGACTTGTTATGTCAGATGACCTTGGTAACGCAATGTTTCTCATTTATTTCACAGTTGCAGCAACAAATGGGCACGTTTCCATCAAGCCTGGCAAGTTCACAACTACATTCTTGTTTGTAATTTATCTCACCGATAAGTCTGATGTCAAACTTAACCCTCTGTTCACTTTCATTTAAGCTAGGAACCTACATATCATATTGCTTTTGGCACCCAGATATATATGTGCCAGTCCTTTAATGCATTCATAAGGACTTACCACCGACAACCTGACATATAGCTGGATGTAGATGTATTTCTCTTTAGTGAAGGGGGAAGGAGCTTATGGGAAAACTTCAAAGGGCCCCAAGCATAAGTAAATACCAGATACAAAGGGTATTTCTTTGTTGAAATCTTTTATTTTTGTTGTTGTTAAGATATTGGGTTGCAACACCCACTTACAGAAAAGGGATAAGAAAAATTGTAAGTTAACTCAAACAAGTTCAAAAGCAAAATACAAATTCCAACTTTATGATTAATTAATTTTTAACAGATCAAGTAATTTTTTTCTTTTACAAAATCAGTCTTTAAGACTGTTGTTATCATTTATTATTTAATGCATTTATTATGTCACAGTTATGGTGTCAAAACACTGAAATTGTATTTTTTATCTAGTTACAGCCTATGTGACAGAAACTGTGAACCTTTTTTACACAAGATCGGTAAACGACAGAGATAGCAGCTTTCGCAAGTATGCAGTGTCGAAAGACCATGTAAACTTCATCACTCTTGGACAGGAAAAAGATGGAAAGGATAAATTTTTCTGCACCGAAAATACAGATTACTCAGACATCTGCCAGGAGCGTTTCTCCTTTCGTTATGTCAACGACACACATGTGTCATTTCAGATAAGAAATGTAACACTACCAGATGCTGGGCTGTATGACTGTCACAAGTATTTCTCCGAGGTTGGGGTCACCAAGGACCCAGGATATGAACATATCAATTTGAGTGTACAAGGTAAAGTATGCATACGTGCGTGTTTATAATCTAGTCATTTATTAACTCATTTATTTAATGTAATACATGATAAGATTTCAATACTTTTCATTTGGGGCAAAGAAATTTAATAAATCTGATATACAGAGTAGATGGCACTTTCTCAACTGTGTTTTACTTACCTTTCGGATACTTTGGACAGCTGTCTGCTGATGGGGGAATGAATCTTAGTCTACACACAAAATGGAGTATGTAGACTGTGGATTTAATCCAAAATACAGACTGAAAAAGAAAAACATTGCATGATAATGAGTTGATAATGAAATATTATTGTGCTCAAGGTTAACTTAGACGAAAAACTGAATTGTTCTCAGTTTGCATTTGGTACCTCCACAGGTCTGCTATCTGTATTTTGTTACTAACAGTTTTTACCTTTTACCCAAAAAACCAGCAGTCGGCAATAAAGAAATTATGTCCCCCATTGTTCTCTGGACAACAAGTCCTCATTCAGGTTGGTAATTTACTGGATATTTGAGAAAGTGTAAAGCAAAAAAAGGAAAGTGAATGAAGCAAATTAGCAATGACAGTGCACAATTTAGCTGAATTGCCCTGGAATAGCTTAAAAGGAATGGAACAGCATGAAGTTATAGGTAGTATTGGAAAGGAATCCCAGTAGTATAGGCCCTAGCATAACATATAATGTGTCATAGAATCGTAGGATCAACATTATGTGATATATGGTGAGTGGTGTTTAATTAAGTGAGGTGTAAATGGGGTGAAACTAAGAAAATTATGTGAGCTGATAGTGTGCTCATGTTAAAACATTGTCAAAGTAAAGTGGAGTGTTGTGAGATTTTATTGAATTAATGGTGTAGAAAGAGTTGAATAAGGTTGCTTGGATTGATCTGGAAAAAGAATGGATAGGGCTAATGTGTGTGAGTGGACAGATGTAGATGAAATGCAAGAATGTCACTGATATCTTTCATTTCCATCTTTGTCACGCATGCTTTCTCTCATGTGCTGATGGTGCTAACTGCTCTATACGCCCTACTAATCATTAGTGACCATTACGTGGGAACATTAAGTGGACACTTCACAGTTCATGAATGTCACTGATATCTTTCATTTCCATCTTTGTGACACATGCTTTCTCTCATGTGCTGATGGTGCTAACTGTTCTATACGCCCTACTAATCATTAGCAACCATTATGTGGGAACATTAAGTGGACACTTCACAGTTCATGATATTAATAATGATATTTTACATTTATAATGCGATGATGATTAAATGTATTTCCCTGGTTGAGCTGATCATATGATTTATGTTATGATAGTTATGATAATTGCCATTACTGTTAAGAATTATTATTTTTATCATTATGGTAACTGTTGTTACAGTTGAATCTCAGTTATCTGGACTTGTGGGGACTGGGCTGAATAGTCCATATCATTGAACATATAAATATTTATGGTCAAAAATTAAACAATTTAAGGGAAAAACTGTTTTGTTCTCAGTTTGCATTTGGCATCTGGTCTGCTGTCTGTATTTGTTACTAAAGGTTTGTACCTTTTTACCAGAAAAACCAGTGGTTGAAACAAAAGAAATAAATTCCACGATTGTTTCTAGGGCCACAAGCCATCACTCAGGTTGGTAATTTGCTTGATACTTAAAAATAAGCCAAAAAGTAGAGCAAAAAAGAAAGTGAGTGAAGCAAGTTAGCAATGAAAGTGTATAACTTAGCTGAATTACCCTGGCATAATGTCGTAAGTCAGTCATGTTGGATCCCGTGATTACGGAGAGTTAGATTATTAAAAAGTAAGGTTTTTACAGCAAGCAGGGCATTATGGTTCATTTTACTTTAGCTCTTTTCGAGACTGATACTCTGGATACTACACCTGGAATAGCTATAAAGGAATGGAACAGCATGAATTAATAAGTAGTATTGGAAATGAATGTCACTAGGCCCTTGCAGAGCACAGAATTTGGTGGTAATGGTGTGGTAGCATTATGGTTGTCATAGAATTGCAGGATCAACATTATGTGATATGTGGTGGTGTTGAGTGCCGTTGGTGAGATGCAAATGGGGTGAAACCAAGAACAAAACTTGAGCTGATTATGTGCTCGTGTTGAAACTTTGGCAAAGTAAAGTGGAATGCTAGCTGGGAGATGTACTGGATTTCATGTTTCAGAATAGAGTTGTATAGGGTGGCTTGGATTGATCTGGAAAAGAATGGATTTGGCTTATGTGTGTGAGTGGATGGATGTAGGTGTAATGCAAGAATGTCACTGATACCTTTCATTTCCATCTTTATAGGGATATTTCAGCCTTTCTTTCTCATGCTGATGGTGGTAACCACTCTAATTCGGGCCTTGTTCTATTAGACATGGGAACATTACGAGGACACTTCACAGTTCATGATTGAATGTATTTCCCTGGTTGAGCTGACCATATTATTTATTTTATGATAATTATGATAATTGCTATTATTATTAATAGTTATTACTATTTTTATTATTGTAATTATTGGCCATTAATGATTATCAATGGCCAACATTAAAAAAGAATATGTATCATTTTGTCAATGCTAAGTAAGTAAATATAGCAAAGGGACAGAGAAAAAAAATTTACAGATACATATTTTAATATTTAATATTTAAATTTAACCCTAACTCCCAAGATCTGATTTTTAATTCTTCCCTCTAACTGCTACACATTTTCTTGAAAATATTTTTAGTTGAATTTGGTGTCCAGACCAAGTATATACAACTCCATACTGATAAGGTTGAGTATTCTCATTGCCTATTTGTGGGGTAAGGTATGGATATTGTAGGGAGAGGTTGAATGTTAATCACTTCTGGGAGTAAAAGGGTTACCGTATTTATTCGCCTATAAGCCGAGCGATTTTTCCAACAAATTAAACTGAGAACAGGTAAATTCTCACAGGTAAATTCACAGCTCTTTAGTACAAAGCACTCTAGACTTAACCTACAAAAAAAGGCTTTCTCGCGTGTTGGTGTCAAAATTTGGAATAAGATACCGAAAGAATTCAAAACGTTATCAAAACATTCCTTTAATAAACAAATTAAAACGTCTTTATTTCAGAT